GGTGCAAGCCTTGCTTAACCAACGATGGCGATGCTACTGGATGATGAGCGTGCTCGTCCTGCTAAGGGTGACGCTGATCATGGGCCCCCCGGAGTCCTTACATAAGTCAGCCTTGAAATTAGGGTTTAGGGTTTAGGGTTTAGGGTTTCCTTGAAAGCAATTTATTGGATCAAAGATCTCATGGAAGCTGTAAACAGGGACCCCATCTTGCTTTGCTACGTCATGAGAGGTCCTTGCGCTCAGAGAGTATTTTGCGCGTCTTCAGGGGAATGACCAAATTCCTTTGCACGAAAACCATATTAGGGTGCTGGTGATGGTGTGCATGATGTTGATGCCGCGGACCCAAAACTCTCCAATCCTTTCAAAGGCGTTTTGGGAATGTCCCAGCTCAGAACTGCGGGTTTAGGGTTGAAGGTTTAGGGTTTAGGGTTTAGGGTAGGACTTACGCCCGCCCCGAACTCGCAGGTTGCAGAGCAGAATGCGGCCATTCTTCGTCGATTCGAGGCCTTTGCTGCAGCTGAGGATTTGATATAGGAGCCTTTATTTTGGGGTTTGTTTAAAGGGTTCCTGAAAGGTTCTACAAGGGCTAACATAAGGGTTTAGGGTTGAGGGGCCTGACTAATCAGAATAGGGTTATGGAGGTCTGTTATATTAGGTATAAAAAGGAACTCCCAGAAACATATTGGTAATGATTTAGACCCCTGTATTGGAGCCTTCGACTTCCGGGTGTTTCCAAGCCCCCGCACCTTCAACAAGCTTACAGTACTTGGGGGTTCATGGGTAGTTATAAGTGGGCTTATAAGTAGGGTAACTAGAGTTCTAATCTATATTAGGGGACTTGTAACTCCACTTATGACTACCCATGAACCTCCAAGCTAAACCCTAAACCCTAAACCCTAAACCCTAAACCCTAAACCCTAAACCCTAAAAGCCAGAAAGCTGGACCGTCATTGTCCTCGTGCTCGTAAGTTAGAGCAGAGGGAATCCCAGCATGGGTCCTCCTCAATCCGTTAGAGACCCCAAAAGCACAGAAGCATAAGCTGTTTATAGGGATATCCCTACCTTATTGGGCTTCATTATGAGAGGATGTATATGGGATATCCGGATCCTAATTTTTACTTATGTGCTTTTTCGGGGCCCTAAATCAATCCATCTTCCAACTTTCTAGGTTTTGCGACAATGCCGGGACCTGGAAAAGCAGTACGACTGGTTCGTTTCAAAGGGCCGCCTTCCTTTGGCGAGAGGACAGATACCGACCCAACCCTTGGTCGAAGTTCTATCATGTTCATGCAGGCCCTAAAACCCTAAACCTTAAGCCCTAAAACCGTAAAACCCTGAACCTTAAACCCTGAACCCTTAAAGCCCTAAACCCTTAANNCCTTAAAGCCTTAAGCCCTAAACCTTGATCCCTTAAGCCTCTGCTTGAGCACGCAGGCTGCTGCAGACCAGCGTGGCTCTCAGCTTCTTCTTTCTTTGGAGAGCGCAGAGATTCGACCCAACTCCTCAGTCGGGGGGGGGGGGGGGGGGGAGGAAAAGCTATTATCTATGGATATGAAAATGGTGATGACAATTATGACGATGATGATAATGTTGATGAGTGAGACTATTATGGTTTATACGGTTGCCGTTCGTGCTGTTTCTCTTGCACCTGCTGTCAGGCTTGTATCGTCACTATCACTGCTGTTGCCTGTCCTACTATCACTGGTGTGACCACTGTTGTTTCGGCTTGTATTGTTCTTGTTTATGTATGTCAATTTTATCTGCCAATCGCGACGCCTTCTCATAGCAAGGACACTACTTGTATGTGTATGATTGCTAGTCTCTTGCTTCCGCTGGCCCATGCAAGGAGCTTTTGCTTAAGTCCTTCCTGAAGCTCCGGCATAGCTCTCATGGATACCTTCCATGGCGCCCGTCATCATTACGCTGCCTTAAACACAGCACCTCAAGCAACAGTTCATACCTGAAGTGGGAATCGAGAAGAAATCCTTGTTCTATGGAGAAGCGGAGTTGAGAGACCTTGTGCCGGTGGGACAATACCTGCCTGGAAGCCCGACAGAGCAGCAGCATTTGACAGCACTTCTGGGTCGTTCCCCTTCTGCCCTTCCTTCCCTTTCTCCTCACCCTCCCCTCCCCTCCTCCTCGGCCCCGCATGTCCTCCAACTCACTTCACTTCCAAGACATGCACAGACACATATGTATACATATATATATATATGTTTGTGTGTGTAGAGAGAGAGAGAGCGAGAGCGAGAGAGAGGGAGAGAGAGAGATGCAGGCGTACACACACACACGCACCCTTGTGTGTGCGTGTGTGTGCGTGCGGGCGTGCACGTGCATGCAAGACCCCGTACATCCCCCAATTCCGCGGTCATTCACCCTAAACCCTAAACCCTAAACCCTAAACCCTAAACCCTAAACCCTAAACCCTAAACCCTAAACCCTAAACCCTAAACCCTAAACCCCAAACCCTATTCAGTC